CAACGAACCTTGGCTTGTAATATCATTTCTCTCACTCTTCTTTTCTCGGGACCCCACCCCCACTCAAATCTTTGGTGTTATCACATCCATGGAATCATTCAACTCTATTGTGTACCATGTATCTTTTTCAGTTTTCAGCTTCACTAGTCTTGTATATACACTATACACATGCTTATATACCTTTATGAATACACACAGACTGCCTCGTTGGTTGGTTGACACCGTTAAGTTCTTTATAAATAAAGTTATTTATTTTGTCTGTATAAATAAACAAAGTTTATGTTTGAGAGACTTCTTCATAAATGGAAAGATCGTTTTTTAGTTGGGAAAGACAAGTTTGAAAAAGACCTGGTTTTCTATATAAATCTCTCTCTAGAAGCTTACTGAACTAACCACTTTCTATATTATTAAACTACTACCAAATTGTCATGTATAGTTGGGCTTGTGAGTCATTAAACTGCTAATAAACATGCTCTAACACACATACATATGTTATATGCAATGTATACATATATACGTGTATATACTCTTATGATAAACATTTGGTAAATGGGCCCTTAATGATAAAGACATCCATAATTGTTCGTGTGTATGTATTGTTAGTACTTGGAGTGGGAAGGGGATAGAGGGCCAACAATTTAGGTTGGGGATGTGTTTTTGCCTTATTTGTCATGTGTGGGTTCTGCCTTGCCTCATCTTTTGTGTTTTTTCATTATACTTATTCGTTACTTTTCTTACTTACTTCTCTCGTTCTTCGATCACCAAATGTTATTCTACACTTCAGCTTCCTGTGTGCTCACATTCTTGCACATGTCGAAGGTCTTTACTATCACACCCCCATTTGCAGGAGGTGCGATGGCTTAACAATCATGATATAATCCAATCAAATTGTAACTTAAAATCATAAACTCGATAATAGAAAATTTTAAATTAAATATCAAATGTATTAAATAGACAATTTCGTCTAAAAGTACACATCAAACAAACATACACGAAAACCAACTATATTTTCTCTTTTCCCTTTGAGCCATATGTCTTATCCGACCTTTAAACACATGTTTGGGTCAACTTTACATTTATTGAGTTCATAGTTTATATAAAGCATCATCAAAACATTTCAAATCATTTAGAAAACATAACATAAAAGTTTAGTATAACGTATTGTTAAATACATTTCATATCAATTCAAGCATACATAATGTAGAAATCAGAAATAGGTACCAAAATATGCATGGAGAATAGATTTCATGAGTTCTCAAACATTGCGAGTACTATATGTGTCAACATTGTCAATAACATCATATCTTTAAATACAAAGGATACCTCAATATATATGTACCGCTAAATACAAAGGTATACCTCAATATATATGTACCTCTAAATACAAAGGTATACCTCAATATATATGTGCTGGATCACATCTCCACTTGGTATAGAGGCATTCGCAACATATACGGGTCCATACATCGTTGCGGTTACCATCCATCTAGACTATATTGGAGTCCCAACTTATGACAACAGGTGGGATGACGGTTGAGGGGTAGTCCTCGACGAATGTGGGATGACTAGTTGAGCTAGAATAGGCATTGACACTTTAGGCATATCCGATGACATGATCTCTGATAGGAGTTTTTAGAGGCATAGGACTAGAGTGGCAAATTTTTAGTAGAATCTGGTAGAGGGTTGCAACAAGGGTATTGAGGAGAGTGTAGTGAGTAGACATCCTTATTTTTGGATATGTCGGGTAGGATCTGACCGACTTTCTTGCTTTTCTTTCTTACTATCATCTTACATGTTTTAGTGAACGTTGTTATATACATTAATTCTACTTGTATTACATGTTTAACTTATTACATTGTCTGCTTGTACACCATTGAATCGTGCACACATACGTGAATCGTATTATGCCTGCAATTTTTCTTGATTATCTGTTGCACACACTTTTTTTTACCATACAAGGTTTGTGTACCTTCTACCTCTCCTAATCCCTACTTTCAAATGAAAGATATATATTGAGTTCATTTAGTTTGTTTTGGTTTTGGTTATATAATTGTCCTTATCACCATGCCATAATTTGAGGCCCAGAAAATAGTGCAGTGTTCCTAGATCTTTCATTAATTTCAAAATGCTTATTAAGGATTTAAGGGACTGCTTAAGTTGAGTAATGGTAGGGACTGCTTAAGTTGAGTAACGGTAATCATATCATCAACATAAAGAATTGTACCACTTGAAGAAATATGGGTACATTCCAAAGGCATAATAGCTAGATAAAAAACCCATTGAGTGAAAAATATTGATGTTAAACTACCCCGATCAGGCTAGGAGTAGTACTTTGAGAGTTTGAGGCCATATAGAGCATTTCGAAGGCAACATAAATGTTTTAGGTTGATTAGATACACAATCATAATTAACGTTTTCGAGAAGTGTCCAATAAATCTATTTTTTAATAGGACACTTTTTTATACAGTGTCCTATAAAATAACCAATACGACAAATCTATTTGAAAAATAACCTAAAAACTTGCTATGACGCCTAAAAACATGCTATAAACTTTTTGTAACATTTTTAGATATGACGTTTTATTGTTTGGTCATATAAAACACTCTATCAGGACATTTTTTCATATGATGTCCTATAAAATAAATAATACGACACTCTATTTGAAAAATGTCCTAAAAACTTGTTACGACGTCCAAAAGCATGCTATAAACTTATTGTAACACTTTTAGATATGATGTTTTATTGTTTGGTCCAATAAACTTAAGTCTTATAAAACACTCTCTAATCATGACATTTGGACATTTTGTAGTCCTATAAATCATAGACGGACCTAGTTAAGTGCCATGGGTGGCACGTGCCACCGTATCGTTTCTCTGTCGAATGGAAAAAAATTTAGGTTTCGTGAACGGTGCAACCGTATTAATTTGTTGTGTGCCACCGTATGTATTTTGAAACTACAATTAGAACAAGTTTTATTTGGTAGAGTTGGTTTGCAAGACTTTTATTCCACCTCACACCCAAGTTCGAATAATGTTAGTGTCATTTTTTTAGTCAAACGGTGTCACCGTTTGAAAAAAATTCTCTATATTTGTTTCTCATAGTCAAACGATGTCACTTTTTGAAAAAAAAATTCTATATTTTTTTCTTATGATCAAATGGTGCCACCATTTAAATTTTTTTTTGGTTCGTCCCTGCTATAAATCCAACTTTATTGTAATGTCTAATTCTCAAGGTTTTTTGAGTAATAATTGAAGGAATACAATGGCAACTTTGTTCTCATTTTATCATCAATTTAATTAGCATAAATCCTTCCTCAACTAATTGTTTCCTCTCAAAGTGGTTTTCCTCAACCCACGTCTAATTCAAATGTTTCAGCAATTAGCAAAGCATGTCACTGTGGTCCTTAAAATGACCAACCAACCCTTGGAATTCCATTTTTCTTGCAACTACACTATTAGTCCATCTCACGACTTCTCATTTTGTTTTGATCTAAATTTTGCGATGTTACAAAAGACATGCTTAACATCCATTCATTTGAAAAAGGTGGCCAATGGTGAATTACACTATTGGTAAGGAGGCTGCAAACAATATTAACTTGAGGAGCATGAGTAATAGTCTCCTTATAATCATGTCAAATTGAAACCCTTTGCTACAAGTATGTAACAATAAAGCAGGTCAAAATAACCAAAATACCCTTACATGAGATGCACATGCATGAGGGCCGGCCACTTAACCAGGGGAGGGGCGGAGTCCGGATTTTAGACTATGGTGGCTCTTTTGGTTTCAACTATTTTTTGCCCAATCACTTTTAGAGTTTGTCAAGTCCCTAGTTGTGGCAGATCTCAATTTTAATACAATATGATGATACATGGAATTCTTTTAAATTTATCTATAAAAAAGTTCTTACAAGGAGATGAGATGTTCCTATATTCTACGTGTATGTATTTGATTGTCCATGTGTGAATGATGTAGGACTCTTAACAATTTGATAGAAACAAGCAAGATGAATTAATTTGCACTTATCAAAATCTAAACAAGAGTTGTTTGAGTTGAAACATGCAATAGATCAAAATAGCAACTTAGTGTCAATCTCAATAAAACAAATTTTAATTGGATCCATATCATAAATAAAATGTAATTTTTTATAAACTAACACATAAATATTATATTAAACAATTGCTCATCTGTCGCATTGAGAAACAGAGACCGTGTGCTAAGAGCATCGGCCAACAGATTCTCCAAAATGGAGGAGTAAAATGTCAAAATCTCCAAAAATATTACCTTCATTTCTATTTCGGAGATTACACAATTAATTATATTATCAAAATATTCAATACTAACTTATGAAATACTATTCATCTCTCCCGAACATTTAATTTAAAGCAATTTCATTGGTAGAAGGAATAAAAAAACATTTCTCCCTCATAAGTAATCGTTGTTTTGGAGAATTTTCATCCTCTTTCTCAAACTTTCTCCGGTGAAGGTTTTGTTGGAACAAATATCTCCATAATCTCCATTTCAGAGAAGTTAGTAAGCAACCAAAATGTGAGTCCCTCATAGAACAAGATTGCCTTGTAAGACTTTTCTAGGTGAGCCTTGGCTCCTTCTGCCAATGCACTTAACAGATGAACTTAATCCCCGTGAGGGCAAGGGATGGTGGATGTCAGCAAATAGACACGATGGGGGGTTTTGATGCAATTCCCATGCATGATTTCAGTAAATCCATATGGAAGATTTATATAATTTACGTTTTTTTATTAACTTGCAAGTGAAATACAATTTGATGTTGCCTGTAGGGCTTGATAACTAAAGAGGGACTTCCAGTTTGAGTTAGGATATATTTTAGGCTCTCCATGTACTATGTGGGTATATATCTATACAGTAACAGGTTTTATGCACGCAGGAACATCTATATAATCATTTTTGAGTGGGATATATATATATATAGATATATAGATATATGTTGTAATTATGATACATATGGGGGTGTGTGTGTATAGGTGGGGATGAAAGTGTAGAGAGGTCAAAGGAAGATACAAGTAGAGGAGGGGAAGCAGAAGGGGTGAGATCCAACTGGAGCAATGAAGATAGAGCTCTGAAGGATACACTTTTACGCAAATACAGCAAATATATTAGTTCCCTCAAGCATGAATTTTCCAACAAGAAGAAGAAAGGAAAACTACCCAAAGAAGCAAGACAAGTTCTCCTTGATTGGTGGAACCTTCACTACAGATGGCCATATCCCACTGTAAGTACTTGCCTTCATTGTTCGTCTCTATTTTATATGCTATTCTTTTGACATACATACATACATGCATACATATATATATATATATATATATATATATATACATATAGGAAAGTTCAATAGCGAATGGGAGATAACTAAAGCATAACATGTGGTCCCATTCATCATGAATAATGAACGTGAATTTCTTACAACGTTCATGATGAATGTCCCCAACATGTGTCGTGCAAGTTGGTCCCCCGGTTCGCAACAGAAACACAGGTTCTCAACCCATCTTATCCCTATATGTGTGTGTGTGTGTTTTTGTTTTTGAGTTTATGGGTTTTGTTGGTGGATCTATGTATGGTTCCTTGACATATATATATATATATATATATATATATATATCTGATATCTGGAGAGTAACATATTGGATGTATGTGCAGGAAGCAGACAAGGTAGCACTGGCTGAATCAACAGGATTGGACCAAAAACAGATAAACAACTGGTTTATAAATCAAAGGAAGCGGCATTGGAAACCATCGGAGAATATGCAGTTTGCAGTCATGGACAGTCTTTGTGGATCGTTTATCGTCAACAATTGATATTCATCAATCAATCAATCAATCGAGGTGCTATATACATCTCTTTTTCTATCTTCCCACTTCTATTAATTATATATATCTTTATATACATATATCATGTATAATAATTATTATATATATATATATATAATATTATTATGAATAATCTTAATTAAATCCATCCTTTTCAACATTAATTAACTTAATCACTTCTCTCTATAACATATATGCTATACTTTGTTTTTCTTTTTTTTAAATTTAAAGAAAAGTTTAGCATAGCTATTGTAGCAAAACTTTTCTCAAAATTCTGAAACAACATATATAGCTAGGGTGCTCACGGTCCGGGTTGATCGGTTTGGAGCCGTTTTAACAACCCAACCCAATATTGACGGTTTGAAAATTTTCAACTCAACCCAACCCAAACAAAAGTTCAACCCAACCCAACTCGTTCGGGTTGTGTTTAAACAATGTAAAATCACATAAAAATAAAGGAAATTTTCTTTTGAAATACGACCGACCATTCAAGAAAATATGCAAGTTCATCAAATATTTAGATATTACAATAAAAATGTTTAAACCAAATGATAATACCTCAATCAACAACAATAGTACTTTTAGACGTTTCCAATCCCGATGGTTTCGCTTTCTTGACGTTGAGGTTGGTCATGTCATGATTGTCATCTACAATTCAAAGCTAAAGTTAAGGTCGGGTTCATCGGGTTGGTCGAGTTCTTTTGGGCCTGACCCAATTCCAACCCAATAAGGTTGGGTTGGCTAATTTTTTTATCGATCATGCATCGGGTTATCTCGGGTTGAGTTTTTTTTTAAATTCGGGTTGGGTTGGTCGGGTTCATCGGATTTTTGAACACCCCTATATATAGCTGTTGAAGATGCTTTTAATTCCTATTGCTTAATTTCTCTGAACGTAACTTTTTTGAGATAAGGTGCTTCTAGAAACATCAAGTCACTACCAAAAAAAGTCATTAAGGAGTTGTTTACCTAAATGTTTACCTAGTATAAGTGTTTAACGTTAGGAATCAACACTATAATTTATTTTATTGGGTAAGATTGTAGTATATCAAAACGTATCCTATACAACAATTTATCTGGTAAGCACTTACCCAGGTAAGAGTCGTCACCCTCACTTACCGGGTAAGACTCTCCATCCTTATCATCGCCCTTACCGGGTAAGATTCTTGGCCCTTGCCATGTTTATCGGGTGAGGAAATTTACCCTATAAGTACTTATCGGGTAAGCTTAGTAAACAGCCCCTAAGTCACTACCAAAAAAGTCATATATAGCTAACATAATAAACTGTGAGTCCATTATTAAGTTGTTAACAAATATATCTTTGATATCATCCAAATTTTAGAAACCAGCATGAAGGTTGAAATTTATGATTGAGTATACTGATATTTATCATTTTAAATGAAACAATTATATATTATTACATCGTTATTAATTCAATCTGATCATGATGTTTATGTTATGATATATAAACAAATTTTAGAAAGAAACATTTGAACAAACTTATTAAGTTTCCCGTGACAAATGTTGAAGTTAGAATACCTTCAATGGTTGACCTCATGAGTTAGAATACCTTCAGGCACGACCCTGGTTTTTCACATATATATTTTTGATACATATTGTTTGATTAGAGATATTAAGCAATAATCAACGAGAATGAAAATAAAAAGAAATTGTTGAGTTTTTTATAATATAATTAGTTCATTCCCCAGAAGTCCAAAATTTAATTTTCTGCTTAAATTGGAGGAAAGAAAATTTATTCCCATTTTCATTCCTCATTATGAGCCAAACAAACCCTCATTGTATTGGAAGGTTCTGTCTCCATTTTGTTAGATCAAGTAACGAAACAAAGAAAAAAAATAAATGCCATTACAACGGAAATAAAAGGCTAATTAACATGTTATAAAAAAGTGTTTTTGACCTTGTTGAGTTAGCTCAACTGACAATAAAATTTGGTTCTTTAGGATTCTCTTCAAATTTTCTTGTCTGTTCTTCAGGATTCTCTTCAGATTTTCTTGTTTGTTCTTCAGGATCCCAAGATTAATCAGGATGCGTGTAAGTCGGTTCGAAAATCGACGGTCAATAGAACCTTTGTTGATTTTTTAAATCTTTTGCTACCAGCATGAGCAAGTAAACAGCTAATTATATAACTAGCACTCGTCTTTTTTTTTTTTTTTTATTCTAGAAGAACGTTTATCATATTTATATAAACACAAATGAATGGTTTCTGATTTAAATAAGGGAAATAGGAACAAAAAAAAAATAACTTCTAATCATTAGAACACATCCAAGAATAAACTGTAATTGTTTAATTGTTAATCTCAAAGTTAACAATATATAAGTATTGCACGGCTTAATGTGTTATCGAAGCATAAAACAACGGCATATAAATAGCCAGTACAAGAAACTGAAAAGCGGAAAATAAGCAGCTATTTAAAGGCCTTGAAGACTGGTTCAAGCACACCCTAAAAATCCTAAAGACTACGGATATTATTAACAGAAACAAGAAAACTTTCATATTCCACGTACGCTTCAAGATTAAATTAGAACCACCTACGATTTGATAGAACCCGATAGTTCTACATCAAGCTCAACAAGTTTCATTGAAACTAGAGATCATATCAAACCAGTTGAAACCAAAACTCTATTAAAGATTAAAGACCGAACCGTAAGGACTAAGATAACCCTAAAGTTTAAAACCATATCTTATATTTTTAAATCTAATGGCTAAGCGCTCGAAGATTAACAAAACTATAAACCTCACTTAAATCATTTTTAAAGATTTGATCTAAAGAAAATACAATCATTTTACGTATCAGACTTGATTTTTAAGGATTGGATCTTTTGTTCAGTTGTAAATTATGTACAATAAAAACCCATGCACTTAATTCAAGACGTTGTTTTGGTCAAAAATTATGTCGGCTGGTATAAATAAAAACCATTTGTCTTAAATTTTTCCATCTCTTTTATTATTGAGTCTAAAATGTTGTATTCAAGTCCTTGTGGTTAATTTATTTTACAGGCTTTGTAATTAGGTCTTTAATGCTTTGCAGTTAGTCCTTTATATGCTTTGTAATAAGAGTATCGGGCATCTTAATCTTGTGAGATCGACTAAGAGAATATCGGGTATCATTGTAATCATCAAGAACACTTTGTAAAACTTGTGGCACTTCAATATACAGTCGACTTATCAAATCTATCTTGTGTTCTTGAATCTGTTCTTAAATTTGACTGTGACTTGAATTTGAGATATACATTTATGCCCATCAATCAGATTGATCCACACACATCATATGTATATTGAGCTGAAAGAATAAACAAATAAAAAAAATTATATTAAATAAAAATATTGACATGATTAATGAACATAAAAATGACAAGAAATGTGGTAACATTTATGATACATGAATGGTGTCTTAAACCATCTTTTAAGAGTTATAATGCCTCTAATGAGATTGCACATGGGGCAAAAAATTGATTTTCTTCTCTACAAACATGTTCGATTCCATAGCATCATCCTTTTGTAATGATTAAGGCTCGTAAGTCCATTGGTCCACACAATTGTCCATATACTAGTAGAAGATTCGACAGCTATTGTAGCCCTGCTTCTTTAATTGATTAAACTGGTACAAGTCTGTAACAAAAACTATTTTGTATTGAAATGAAGCCAACTTTAGATTAAGTTTTATTTTGAAGGATCAATTTAAAAAAAAAAAACTTATTTTAGGGTTTAGAACAAACTCTCGTTTGTCTTATCTATACTATATTATAAATCATTTGATAAAAACTTTTAAAACCATTTTTTATGCATAAAATACTGTATATTTATGCATTACTTAAAATTCAAAATTACAAGTAAATTGTGCATAAGTACAACTTATTAAAGCTTTATGTTTGAATTCGTGTAACTAACGGCGGATAAACATAATCAAATAGAGGATAAACATCTCATTTTAAAATATAAAAAATCTAAAATACAATTAAAATAATTATTGAGTTCTAACAGATTACTTAATTATTATCTTTATAAAAAATATATTATTAAACCCAAATTAAGTTACTTCGTTACGTTAAATTAAATTATAATAAAAATTTTGAATAAAAAAATACACAAACAACAACTTTTAAATAGTTAATTTGATACTAATATTGATATATTTTTTTGCAAATTTTATATGATATTTTTAAATATATATTTTATTCAAAAATATAAACATTATCGCTTTTACAAAACCACATAAAATCGTATTATATCGACGTGGATAAAAAATAAAACGAAACACAGAAATGAAAATGTGTCTCGATACATTTCACAAGTACCCTTCTAGTTTATATTAATCATTGATTTCTATTTTCACGTATTTCTTTCAAAAAAAAAACTCCAATTTTTGTAAATATAACGATTTCGTCAACCTTTATTATACGCAATTGTTAGGTTGCATTAGATCAAGTCTTAGGGGCCGTTTACCAAATACTTATCCGATAAGTTCTTACCAATAAAATTTAACATTATTATATACTTACTGGACAAGATTTTAGACCACTAAAACGACATCGCATGCAACAATTTACTCGGTAAGTGCTTATTATGGTAAGAATCGTCGCCCTCACTTACTGGGTAAGACTTTTGGTCTTTGTCTCGCTCTTACCAGGTAAGATTCTTGGTCCTTACCATATTCATCCGATGAGGTAATTTGACTTGATAAACGCTTACCGGGTAAATTGTTGCATACGATATCGTTTTGGTGGACTAAAATCTTACCCGGTACGTAAATAATAGTGTTAAATTTTATCAGTAAGTACTTACCGGATAAATATTTAGTAAACGGCCCCTTAGTCCCGGTATTTTATTTTGTTGATGGTATTTCAAATTATGAAATTATATTAACTTGCAATTTTTTATGATGAAGAATGTGTTTGTTTTTTCAAATAATGAGCTCATTTATGGGAAAGAAAAATATAAGGTTCTTTATGACAAATTACAAAAGTCAAGGGGGTGTTTAAGAAAATATGTATAGTTAGTAACGTCATCAGTGGCACAATGCGCATAAACGGCGCTGTTTAGCACAGCTATATATTCCAGGATCAAGAAGACGACAAAACACATTCGTGGCCAACGAGAATCTAAATCACCATTTCGGGAAAACCGAGTGGATAAGAGAGATTTTGAGCAGATTCAGTTGTATTCCTTGCAAATTCCTGTAGAATTTTTCTATAATCATATGTGATTCTCCGCCGGCATCGTCTCCGTTTCCGGCACCGGCGGCAGTTGTGCAAAGGAAGTTGAGTTTCATGGCAGGCTCTTCGTCTTCAATTCTGGACTGGAAATTTTCTCAGGTTTTTGGCGAACGTAGTCCAGGGGAAGACGTTGAAAACAGTAAGTTCGGTTTTTCTCTATGTCTTACTTGTAATGGAGAAAGGTTTTTAATCATGATATAAGAGTTCAATCTCTGAAGGGGCTGTTTGGTTGGTTTTCCGGATCAAGTTGTTTGTGAGGATTAATTCGTTTGTAGGTTTTTATTTGTAAGTTTTTTTTTATGGAAGGTGAGTAGTTTTTAGTTGGAAATGGCAGGTTTGGAAAAATTCTAGAAGCTTAATTAATAAGTCATTTTCTATATCATCGAGCTGATATCAAACAGTCGTATACATAGCTCACCGAATAAGCTGTGAGTGCTCGTTAAGTTGCTAATGAACATGCCCTAAGTCATTGTTCTGAATAGATTTTACAGAAGAATTGAGAAATTGATCAGAGGATTTTGATGCCATTGAAATGTGGCCGAGAAGTTTATGGAAAACGGAATAGGTCAAACGAGTGTTACTTTTGGATTGGGAGGAGCTATGGAACCTAAATTCCATCGTTTTTGCTCAGAGTTCAACTTTTCCGAGTTTACAAGAATTTTACGCGGGAAATCCTACTTCATCGTTATTTCAGCCAACGAATTTCACTATTTGAAACGTGATTTTGACTTGCCTAAAATGGTAGCCTCCTTGTAAACAACCAAATTCATGCACATCACCACTCATAGGGAAGGATTTGATAATAATTTGGATGGAATGACACAATTATGTGGTGCTGGCCTGTTTATGTTGCCCTTGATGGTAGAATCCACGCCCGTAATTCCTTAGCATGTTAAATGTAGGATTTTGAACAGGGTCCCCACATTTTTACATGTGTTCAGAGCCTTTTATTAACCTGTTTAAAGTCCGTTGTGTTTCTGTGTGTAAATTATGTTCAGATAAGCAGATTGTTAATTGTTTAGGTTTATCCCTTTTTTGTACTTCAAACATATATTTAGTTCTGTTATGTCATTTTACAGAGTAATCAAAAGCTTTCGATGTAACACTGCCTCCAAAAAGATTGGAATGTGTCTAGATAGAATATGGTTGTTTGCCTTTGTTTCATATGTTGTGATCATATAGTAATGTGATTCAACTCGACTACTTAACAAAATTTGCTTATATCTATAATCATTCCCTATCACTCTAGCAGCTTCGGAAGCTTATTTCGATTCTTATGAACAGATTCGCATTGCTTTTCTTTTCACATTGTATGCATATGGAGATTTTATGTCTTGATTATGTATCAGAAGTACCCATTTTGGTTGCTCATTTTGTCCGTATTTAATGTTAAATTTTTTGTCCTTCATCTTTAGTTGATGTCATATCTGCTATTGAATTTGACAAGAGCGGTGATTATCTTGCTGTCGGTGATCGAGGAGGCCGTGTTGTCATTTTTGAAAAGAAGGCTGGTAAAGATGTGCGAACCACTTGCTTGTTTCTTTTCATGTGCTATTTTTTATGGTTTCTGCTTCTTTTTAATGTCCTTAGTTCTGACAGTTCAAATAGAAACAACCTGAAGGCAGGGACGGACCCAGAATTTTTTTTAAACGGTGGCACCATTTGATCATAAGAAAAAAAATATAGGAAATTTTTTTCAAACGGTGACACCGTTTGACTATAAGAAACAAATATACGGAATTTTTTTCAAACGGTGGCACCGTTTGACTAAGAAAATGACACTAACATGATTTGGACTTGGGTGTGGGGTAGAATAAAAGTCTTGCAAACCAACTCTACCAAATAAAACTTGTTCTAATTGTAGTTTCAAAATACATACGGTGGCACACAACAAATTAATACGGTTGCACCGTGTACGAAACCTAAATTTTTTACCCTTCGGCGGAGAAACGATACGGTGGCACGTGCCACCCATGGCACCTATGTAGGTCCGCCTATGCCTGAAAGTTGGAAACATGGAAACATATCTCAACCGTTAGATGGATTTGACCAAATGATGTGCTCAGAAAGGCAGTTATAGTATTATTTTTAAACATTTTATTCTCTTCAATTTGACATCTATATTGTTGTACTTTTCCCGTTAGTTTTTTTCTTCGTGTTTACGTTTCCATCCTTCAAGCTGTCTCCATTTAAACCGCCCCCTAGTTCCTATTGCTTTAAATCTATTCCTCATCTGTTTGCACTTTTGTAGGTTACAAGTAAGCAATATTCTCGAAATGAATTGGAAAAATCGGATGTTATGGTTTTGCAGCATCCTGAGTATAGATACAAGACGGAATTCCAGAGTCATGAGCCTGAGGTGTGCTTTCATTTTCAGGGTCATTTAAGTGTATAACCTTAAATGAGTGTTTTATTAAGTCCATGACCTCCTGGCCTATTAAAGAAAAAATGGCTTCATTCACATCAGAAGGTCATGGATTTAATTAAAATCCATTTTAAGGATATTTTCCTTAAATATGGCTTCATACTCGTAAGGAGGGAATGGATTTAATTAAAATTTCATTTTTTATACCTAAATATCTCGTTTCAAAGCCAATCATAATACTACTACTGCTACTACATGTTTCACAGTTTGATTATTTAAAAAGTGTGGAAATTGAAGAGAAGATTAACAAGATGAAATGGTGCACGAAGTTGAATGGATCACTCTTTATACTTTCGACAAATGACAAGACCATCAAACTTTGGAAGGTATAATCTTCTCGAAATTTAACTTTTACTGATTGTAATTTTTATAATCTTTTTAAGGGGTTTTAATTTCTTTCGTTTCCTTCTCTTTCCTCCCACATTTGGGAGGAAACTTATCATTATTTCCTTCTGTTTCCTTTCCCTCCTAAAAAAGTTTCAAGAACACGAGTTTTTTTTTTACTTTTCTCCCCTTTCCCTCCCTTTCTTTCCTTCGTAATAGAGGTTTTGAGAACACAGCATAAGACACGAATTGGTAATTTGCTGGTCGCTGATCAATGGATTAGCCAAAAAGTGATCTCAGATATGATACTATTAGTTGAGTAGTAGTATATGAGTAACGGTAAAAATCATCATATCATATTTCCCATCTAAACAAAGCGATGCTAATATATTTCATTGTTTCTAAAGCCAGGTTAAGGAACGAAAATTGAAGAAAGTCAAGGAAATGGACCTTGGTCCATATGTTTCATCAGAGAATGCTCTTCTATCTGAAAGGAGTTTCGTTAGTGGTGAATCTAAATCATCGGTTGCTAACGGCCTTAGTCTAGAATGGATAGATAAAATGGAGACAAGCATCTCGGTTTCTAATGCAGGACATATGAATGTTAGTACTAAAAAATTACGGTGATGTAATTTTATATGAATTTTCAGCTTGAAGTTTCTATCAAAACTAATACGTTGTAAATCCCGATTTGTTTAGGGGCAAAATATTGGGGAGACTGCATTTGCAAGATGTCGGAAGATGTACGCGCATGCTCATGATTATAATATCAACTCTATCTCCAATAATAGGTAAATGGTGTTGCTTGCTATTCTAATTTATAGTTTGTCCTGATTTGAATTTGGTGGTTTATACTAGAGAAATGAAAAACTGAGGAACATCCTACTAACCATTCACCTGAATGGTATGCAAATGTGCATACAAGTAATTGAAGTTGTTTCTTGGTTTTTATGTGCTTACAAGTTACTTGTATGCACGTGTGCATACCGTCCATATGAACGGTTACCAGGGTGTTCCTCAATTTTTCATTTTTTGCGGTTTTACCCTGAACATGACCCTACCCTATAATGGAGATAGATCAAAATGTGTAAATGGGGGCATATTACTTTCCTCGATGTGGTTTGCCATACATTTTTAGTACTGTTAGACTCCTACATCAGCTAGACTTGGACCATTTCTCCTCAATATATGTTGGAACCTTTGAAGAGTAATTCCACATACTCGTACATGGTATAAGAGCCATGGTCTACCTAGAGTGGACTCAACAATTTGGGGCAATCTTTACTCGTCTAGCCCCCTCTCGACATTTTGAGACCATTTGTCCCCGTCTAGCCTCCGTTGGAGGGTTCGTGATAGAGTACCTCATCGGCTAGACTTAGATCATTTCTCCTCAATATATGTTGGAACCTCCATTTCTATCCTTAAGGGCTCTTTTGGAAACTAATCTAATAGGGTTCCACATATTATGCAATGATACATTTTCTTGAAGTGGGGGGGTGATGGTGGTGGTGATGACCTGGATGCACTAGCTAATTAGTCCCTTATGGTGTTGCAATCCTTGTATAGTGATGGGGAGACGTTTATATCTGCGGACGACCTTAGGATAAACTTGTGGAACCTTGAGGTCAGTGATCAATGCTTCAATATCATCGACATGAAGCCACCGAACATGGATGATCTTACAGGTATTTGAGTTTTAGTAATGCTTCCCGCTTCAAGTATTTGACACACTTAAGATTGTATAAGCTCATTCCATTATGTTTACATCACAATCAGAGGTGATAACATCAGCCGAGTTCCATCCACTGCATTGTAATTTGCTCGCATATAGTAGTTCAAGGGGGTTTATTCGGCTGGTAGACATGCGACAATCAGCATTATGTGATCGCAGTTCTATAATGTGAGTTTCTTGTGCTTGTCTATGCTTTTTGCTGCTATATATAATGCATTTGGTATGCGGACTGCGTTAGACTGTACCGGACTGGATGGATGAGAGTGAGGTAGGCGGGTGAAAGAATTGAGGAAGGTTTTAGGGTTTTAATTTGACATGAGTAGTTTAGTAATTTACCAAACTTGTCCCATCTCCTTGATTTTTGTTCCACCTATTTGGTTGAGACAGAAAAAATGCATTTTGTCCCACTCAGGGGTTGTTTGGTTGGTTTTCCAATAACTCATCTATGGATAAAGTTGTTTGTGTGGATTAATTTGTTTGTTTATATTGGGAAGGTTTTCGTTTGGGATGGTTTTTTCATAAATGGAAGGAGTGGTTTCTAATTGGGAGGGACAGGTTTGGAAAAAACTTGGCTTTTTACATAAAACTCCCCCTTAGAAGCTTACCAAATAAGTCACTTTGTATATCATTAAGCCACTACCAAACAGTCATATATAGCTGACCGAATAAGCTGTGAGTCCCATTAAACTCATTAAGCTGCTAACAAATCAGTCATGTCTAGTCCCAAATGTAGGACAACAAGATTTTGGTCTGTCATATCCTGTGCTGTCCCGCATACTGAATGCACCTTAAGTTCCTTTAGGTTACATGCTCTTCGGTATCTTACACTAGCGTATAACTTCTTTCAGGTTGCATGATGCCGAGCCCCGAGGGCAGAAAACTTTTTTTACAGAAATCATAGCATCAATTTCTAGTATAAAGTTTGCACCAGATGGAAGACACATCTTAAGTCGTGACTACATGAATTTAAAGGTCTTCTCTCTAATTCCCTTCTCTTGCCAGCCTTTAATGTTTACATTTTCCTTTTGAATCTTCAGTTTCAGTGTATGTACGTGCTTGCACCTACTCACCTGATTGCATAGTAACTACAAAGTTTGATACTGTTTAGATTAACCTTGGATATGTTTTTGTACCTTCTTTTGTTTGTATGTTTTTTATTGTGTGCCTATTTGTTTGAATGTTGTTGCTTAATTCGCACTCTTTGCACAAATCGGGGTAAACAACCGCTCCATTCTTTGGGGTTTTCAGGTAGAAGTCAGGTCTGCATACATCCCACCCTCCCATACCCAGACCCCATCTCTGGATGGGACATACTAGGTAAGTTTGGCTTGGGTTGGTCCATCGTCGACCATGGTTGTACTTATGGATCAT